ACACACACACACACACACACACACACACACACACACACACACACACAGGAAAATCCTTCAGATCATCTGAGATAGTTATACCCAGCTGTATTTTTCTCAAAACCTAGAGCCTCTGTGTTTCCGTGTTTATGGTACCAAATTATGGCTCCTGCTTCAGAAAAATACTGCCTATCAGATTCAGAAAGAATAAGCTTTTTGTTTGGTGAAACAAATGAGGGCATTTGGGGCCATGTGGATATCCCTGCTGGAGAAAGAGCTCTTGTTGCATTTCTGTTACTGATTATTCTATCACATATCTTACTGGTTTACAAGTGAAAGTGCTACATTCTGTTGCTTTCCCTGGGTAGCATCCTTTGCTCTCAGTTCTTTGATGAGCAAGTAACAATAGACACATCTCCAAAGCTGTATTTGAGAATTTATAAAGACTAGAGTAAAGTAACTTTTCTGTTATAAGAATGGCAATGTTGGATTTCAGCTACCATTTTCAGAGTTAAATAATCCCAAGGGTAGTGGGCTTTTTAATGTCATGTACTCTCAAAAGAAGAAGTTGAGTACTCTCAAAAGAAGAAGAAGAGTTGCCAGGTTGAATTGTCCATCTAAAATAAAAAATAAAAAATAAAATAAAATAAAAAACCCTCTCCGTGGCTGTAAAGCAGCTCCAGATTGCTTCCTCTGCATGCTGGAGGAGCTGACAGGGCCCCAGATGGAGCTGTTTCTCAGCAAGCTGTCAGGTGATCCATCCATCAGAAAAGCCATAGCACCCAGCCGAGTTGCCTATTGCTGCCAAGATTTGTGTTGGGTCAGGTGGGAGAGGCCAGGGTCTGATGAATCTGGAAAAACATAGGTCAGAGGCATCGGAAGCAGAAAGGAAAGCTACATCTCAAGCTTAAGTCCCACAGTGATATTTAGCATTGTTTTATACTGACTTGACAGTGTTTCCATCTGCTTTATTTCCTATGGATTCCGTGACATTGATGCTGTGATGTCACTGGGGATGGTATTGAGAAAAACCAAAGCACAAAGCTGAATTAGAGTAAGGCTGCTCAAAACATGCTAAGTGATTGTCAGCGAGCCAAAAAGGCTTTTCATTCGTAGACCTGAAGAAGGTGTGATGAGATCATTGTAAAGGGGAAGCTAAAGGATTGGAAATGAACACACAGAGCTAAAATCCATCACCCAGCAGGTTGATGCCTTCCACATTAGCCTTATCTCATCTTGGACACCGCCATCCATTCTAAAGGTAAAGCAGCAATATAATATGCAAGCTTACGTCTTCCAAACCTGATGAGATACTGCCGATGATTCAGACCAGCAAAGAGGCTGCAAGCAATCAGAGGATACCAATAACTGCCTTAAATACTTGCAGGTCAATGAAAAGCTGTACTGCTTTTATTAAAAGCACAGGAAGTGTCTTTAAAGGTTAAAAAAAAAAAGACAGAGAAGACTAACAGGTGTTTCTTGTTACGCCATGCCTGCCATAACATACCACTGGCAATATGTCAAATAAAATCTTCTTGTTTCTAAAAAAAAAAAAAAAAAAAGGCAAAGGAAAAAAGATGTCTATCTTTACTCCTAAATAATAACTCCTACTCCCCCACCTCTTTTGCAGTGATAAAGTAATAAGACTCATCCCCAAATCTGAAGAGGAAGCACTTGCACTAAAGAACATATACCACCAACTTAAGGTAACAGAGCTTTCACTGTCCTGTGGTCAAGTCTGTGGCATGTTTGCTCACTTGGGGTTGAAACTGGGTTTGAATAATGAGAATAATTAGCCAGAGGAAGCAGGTAAAGAGGCGGTGTGGGGGGCATTTAAAGGAGAGTGGAATTCTGACAAGATGTAAATTATTCCACACACCATTCATATATGAGTTCACTGACTATCCATCTGCCAAGTAGAATGAATGCTTTTTGAATACTGTTGTATTCCCAGTGAGTGTCTGGAATATTCTAAAAGTGGTAAATAGTCAATGTTTTCTTTGGAGTTGTGAATTTAATTGACAGTTTTCAGAACTCTACTTTTCCTTTTTGAAATCTTCCTAAAGCATGCCTACCTTCTTGTTTGGATCCAAATTTTTAAATGGAAACATGCTGGGGTAGATGAACCAAGAAGTCAGTCATCCACACTGCTGTATTTTTAAGGTTTTCTCAGCAAAGGTTGAAGGTGCTGTTCATTCACACTCTGATGGTTGTATGGATTTGGAGTGATAGTCTCTCATTATTTTCTCCCTGCTTAGTTAGTGCCTTCACCTAAGAACCTAAGGTGAGAGGTGTGGCTATTAACTCTCCTCCATGGGGCTGAAATAGGCCTGTCCGTGAAACATGGTATTTGAGGCTTCATTCTAAAGGATGACAAAGCAGATTGCCGGAGGACCTTGTTCATCTTTAACATGGGACAGTAATGTTTTCTTTAGATGATGCTGGTGTTAGATACTGTGGGAGGAAGAACACCTTCATGGTGGATGTTTGTCATTACCAGGCCTTTGATCTTTCATGGCTTGCTTGGTTCTTCTACTTGACATCTTCCTTGTAAATATTGCTCTTATTTGCTGATAAGCCTTTGAACTCCCTAGGTCATTGATCTCTTTGTCCCCTCTTTTCTGACACCAATTTAACTAATTTTATTTCTTGACCTCCTGTAAATAATGGTTGTTTTACCCAACCCCAGAAAGACTTGCCTAACACTCCTCCCCTTGAGGGGCCTTCTCTGTGGTGCTGACATTAACCCTCAGCAGTAGGCCAGGACTATCTGTCTCACAATGTTCTTCTGGGTTCTAATAACCAAACACTTCCCAAACATCCCACAGGGAGCTAAGCACTGCAGAAACAGAAAGAAAATTCAAGTAGTCCTTTCCATCTCCACCCCATCAAGTTTAAATACAGCACAGGGAGAGTGAGATCGCCCTAACTTCTGTTTGAGGAAACAGCTAATCTGAATCAAATACTGGGGAAAAAAGGGTTGTCTCCATGATGTCAGTCAATTTATATGATAGGCCTTAAATTATATAAGAAAAAAAATGAAGCCTGGAGATATAGGTCAGGAGTAGTTTTCCCAGCACACATAGTACACTTGGATCAATCTCTAACACGGAAAAAAACAAAAAATGCAAATTAGATTGCACACTCATATATGTGATGGTCACTTGCCATTAACAAATAGGATACAGTTGCTTCACAAAATATATTGAACCCCAGAAGGCCACTGACACAGATGGCCACACATGTATAACTTTTACATAAATGGTTATTGTTGTGTAACAAGACATTTCCTGGGGAGATGCAACATGTATGTATATGTACTCACCACAGGTATAGGAAACCCATGGCAGACCAAGGCACAGATACCACCAACTTGGTGAACAAGTTTTTATTGAGGTTATTTACAGGAGCATGAGTGTGCAGTCACTTAAAGAAGCAGAAATGACTCAAAGACAGTTGTATCACCAAAGCCCATCCTGGAGGCTTTGCAGAGCCTGCAGGCAGCTCAATGATGGGAGAGTATCCTTTCCAAGTGATCCAGCTGCTCTAAATCTATTAGAGGCAGCTTGGCTGGCTTCTGCAGCTCGGCTTCTCTCAGAGTCTTCTTTGCAGCTTGGCTTGTCTGAGACTGACCCTCAGAGACATTTATTGCTTACTCTTGGAGGGATGGGCCTGATGAATCTAGTCAATTTCTGGGACTTCTTATTTTGAGCAGTTTACCTTTTGGCTTCAAGCCCTTTCCTGCAGGATGAATTCTTCAATCTCAGTGGAAACTCCTATACAACATTTACAGAAAAACATTCTTAAAATTGTATTCATTTAGTCCTTAAGGAAGAGGCCAGCCTGGGGGAAGATGTCTTGTTGCTACAGGATCTTAGAAGCCAATTAAAAGACCGGTGGAAGAGCAGCAGCAAGGAATGGTATCAGGGACTCAGTGGTTTTCATGAGGCCTCATGAGACTCATCGTGAAAATCTACTCACAGCTGTGACATACACTGAAAGTAGGAAGCAGAGTTGCAGAGGGGAATAGTACATGAATCAACCCAGGGGACTCTAGCCACAGCCCCCCAAGGTCCTTCTTAGTGAGGTCACACATGCCTAATTCCCACAGCAATGGGCTGTGACAGCACATCTACAATAGTGGCTGCCACAGAAGCTCACAAGAGACTTGGTGCCAGTAGTTCTTATGGGTACCTAATTATGTCATGCTTTTCCTAATACATAGCAAAATTCTAGATTCCCAGAGGAAAGCCAAGTATTTTGCATGAACCATATTATTTACACAAATAGCACAGGCACATTGAGTTGCTCTTATCTGTGGCAATGCTAAGAGCCCTCTGAAAATCTCTGTTCCCATATGCTGGCCTTAGGAAAGCTATGTAAACCTTCTAAAGACAGCATGTCAGGCTGCTCTGTTGAGTCTCTTCTCTACATGTCTTCATTTCCTTTCTCAAGTGAAGTCGTTTTCCTGAACTAGAATTTGAGATATTGAACTTAGATAACTTTCTCCATAGAGTCATCCTCCTGCCTTGGTGTCATCTTAAATTATTTGAATTATTTTGCCAAGTGATCCTTTCCCACTGTGGAGAACAGAAATTCCAGCCAACTTGAGAAAGCACTCTGTAGGGGAAAAAAAAAAAAAGAATTGACTGTCTGTCATCTTCTGCCCTGTGGAGCTCATAGGCCAGAACCAGGGTCATGACAAACACCTTGCACTTATGCAGTGCTCCTGGGGAAAAGAGGAAGAGTGGCCAAGAAGAATATTGTCCCTCTTTCCTAGAGTAAGACGTAACTGACGGAATTCTAATACAGTCTAGATCTCTCTGTCTGTCGGTTCCTGCCCTGCAGAATAGCTTTCTTCTGACTAGGATGGGACGAGTGTCCCCTTGGAGATGTTAGAGTATAGAGCAGAGGAAGACTATCTAGGATTGGCCTGGGAAAATCAAAGGAATCTTCAGAATCAAAGAGGTTTTTTCCAGCTGTTCACAGAGGAAGAAGTCAGAGGAATGTTCACAAATTGCTATGCTGAGAGCCGTTCTTGGGAGTCACACACCAAGAATGACAGAGGTCTCTGGAATCTTAGGACCCCCCACTGAACAATGAAATAGAGGCATCAGTCCTACAGATTGCAGGACACTGATGTTCAAATGAGAATGTGCCCCACCCCATTCAGGATGATTTAGTTTTAGCCCCTTGAGATTCTGAAGAAACTCCAGTCAGCTGGGTCTGGACCACTGATCTGCAGGACTGAGGTAAGTGGGCTTTATTTGAGACAGCTAAGGTGATGTTGATTTATCCCAGCAATAAAAAACAGAAATGTAGTAAGTAACCACCTACATCCTGCCTTTTCTCTCTCATTCTTCTCTGCCACAGCTCTAAGTTAATTTTCCTGGTTTCTCTGGCTATAACCAAGGCTCTTAGGGAAAGTGAAATGTGATTCACTGACGTGCTTAGGCTGTAAATTCACAATGCCTTATCTGAAACATGATCAAATGTAAAATGTGCATACAATATTGAATGGAATCTGAGAACTATGGTCAACACATAGCTAATTAGACATAGGACTGCTATTACAAAGCTGCTTGCTTTCCTAATTAAATTTTATAGTTTTGCTGAAGAATTGAAACAAGAAAGTTAAACAGAAAACCATGCCCCCAGAGAACTGAATTGAGAAAGCACTAGCCAATTAAATTGTTAATTAAGACCATAACCATGGCTTAAATCAAGTTATGATGGAAGAGGACCAGTTTTCAGTTGAGCAAAATTAGAATCCAAACATCTTAGTCTGCTTGCAGTTCCTTACCAGCTCTCTGTGCTGTGAAGGAAGAGACGTACCTTTGTGTGAGGCCACAAAGTGTCATGTCGCCTATGCTGAAAGAAGATAAATGTTAGCTCTGTTTCCAGATTGCTCATCAGAGGCAGGGTGGGATAGGACAGGACAGGAAGTTGTCCTGTCGACTCAAGACTCAGCCACATACTTTTCACACTGGAGCACAAACTCAAAGGTATCGGTTGGTTAGTCAGATGTCATTGACAGCGGTACTAAGAGTCTTGAGATCCCATCCTGGAAAGCTACATTTCTCATGAGGAAGGCTCCATCCAGGGGTGTGTTGGCATTGTTATCTGGAGTGTAGATCCTCCTCACCCCAATTTTGTAATGCTGTGCTGTAGTTAACAGATATATTCTCCAGTATTCATGAATGCACTGAAAGTCATTGGGTTGTAGGAACTTTAGAATCCATGTAATTGCTGGAAGTTTATAAATTCAAACATCCAACTAGATGGTTTTATCAACTGGAAAACTTGTGAGGGAAAAAATGGATGATAGAGCACATTCTATGGGAATTATGGAATCTCAACTTTATTAGACTCTCGTCTGGTTATAGAATCAAGATCAGTCTCTGTCTCTCCCCTCTCCCCTCCCCTCCCCTCTCCCTTCTCCTCCTCTCTCCCCTCTCTCCCCTCTCCCCCCTCTCTCCTCTCTCCCCTCTCCACTCTCTCATTTTTCCTCTCTCTTTTCCCCTCTCGACTCTCCTTTCTCTCCTTTCCTTTCTCTCCTCTCTTTTCTCTCCTCTTCTCTCCTCTTTTCTGTCTGTCTGTCTCTCTCTTCCCCCTCTCCTCCTCCCCCTCTCCCTCCCCTCTCTCTTTAATCCTCGTCTTCTCCTCTTTTTTCCCTCTTTCTGCATTTCTACTCACACCCAAACAT